AAAAAAAAAAAAAACAACAAAAAACCACCCAGTCAATGCCCCTTAGTGGAAAGGAGACAGGACAAGGTAGGCCAAGACTTACTTCAGACTACTGCATTTGGATTTTTACCATGTAAAAAAAACCTGTAAGAAATGATAACCTTTTGTTTTGGTGCCATCAATTGAACTCAGGATCCTAGGCCTGCCAGGCAGATTCTGTATCACTGAGCTATATTCCCGGCCCCTAGATGACCATTTTATAATGATTTATTTGAGGTTGCTGGGATTCAATCCAGGGTCTGAAATATGCTAAGGTGGGGGCCTGGGAGATGGCTCAGGGGAATAAGTGCTTCCCTGTCAAGCACAAGGGCCTGTGTTCAATCCCCGGTTCCACCAAAAAGAAAAAAAGAAAAAAAAAAGATTTAGGGGCTGGGGAGATAGCTCAGCGGCTTAAATGCCTGGCTGGCAAGCGCAAGGTCCTGATTCAATCTCCGGTACTGCAAAATAAATAAACAAATAAGTGAAATATACTAAGGTGTGCACTTTCCCACTGAGCTACACCCTAGGCCCTATAAAATCTTTCTTTCTTTCTTTCTTTCTTTCTTTCTTTCTTTCTTTCTTTCTTTATTTATTTAGTGTGTGGCCAGCTCAACCCACCAGGGGGCGGGGCTGGCTGGCATGTGGTGCTGGGGGATTGAACCGCGGTCCCTGTGCTTTGCTAAACTTGTTCTAAGTAGGCTTTAGACCAATGAGCCATCTCACCAGCCCTACAAAACCTTTATAAAAATGTAATAGTCTATATATACTGACACCTGTGAACTAAGCAACTGCACTGAAGATGGCAATTTATAATAGTAGGTTCATGCTTGGAGTGCCTGTCATTCTGGTCTTTTGAATACGGGCTACTTGTCATGACATGTCAGTTGCTGCCGTGCTGTCTCTTGGGTAGATGATTGTTCTAAAAGAAGGGGGTGGTGAATGAAGGCAAGAGACAGGAAAAGGAATATTGTGGGACTGTCCTGCTTCAAGGTCGTACATGGTTAGATATCTGGACTTATGTGTAAACATAGGAAGTATATAATTCTTTATGCCTATTTTTAAAAATATATTCTAATTTTTAAATGTTTTTTCATCATATTCTATAGGGACTTAAAGTTCAATGTATCAATACTTGATGAAAAATACCTATTCCATGTTATGCCTGAGATGTTTGATATTCAGACAGAGAGCTTAAGCTCAACAGCCTAGGTTGTATGGTAATAACAATAAGCTTCTCTTCTGGAGGGTTAACAATCTAAGTTTGCAGACCAAAATTAGAGAAAAAGGAGGGCAGCAAGGAAAGCCAACATTTTGGCCCTAGCCTTCCAAGGTCAATTAAGACTCAGGACATATAAGAACTTGTACTGTAACGTCATGTAACTCAGTAGTGTCCCAAATTTTCTGATCAAGGAGATTATGGGGCCAAAGAGGAAAGTGATTGATGATGTAGAGTGTGCCTAAGGAGAGTCACATGGAGAGAAAACATTCTTTCAGGCTTTCACAGAGAGCACATTGGCCAAGCAATGGCCGTGACTCATCCACATGGCTGACACTGACAAAGGATCTACAATCTGAAGTACAGGATCTCAGGATAAATCCTGAGGGAATTTAACTGACCTTATCAGATCCAAAAGCTACAACTTTTGTTGCATAGGTCTTGCTTTATCTTGGTCTTAACCATCCAACAGAAAAGTATAAAAATGAAGTATAAAAAGTAAAGCCATGGTGTTATGTTGAGCTGTAAGGGACTTAGGTCAACAATTTCTGACATTGACAGTCAAACGGAAGACTTAATACTATTATGGACTATTGGACTCTTTTAGAATATTTTGCTGAGTTAACATACCTATAATATTTAAATGATGGAACTAAACAAAAAGGGGATACAGATGAGTTTCCATTTTGTATCTGTGTATTCAAAATGGTTAGGATAGATATATAGTTACATTCTCTTAATGAATAGAGGGATTTATTCTTTATTTATTTATTCATTTATAGGGATTTGTTCTTTTTTTTTTGGCGGAACCAGGGATTGAACTCAGGTCCTTGTTTGCCAGTCAAGCGCTTATCCTTCTGAGCCATCTCCTTGGCCCCAGGGATTTGTTCTGATAGTGTTTGTGAATAGGATATCATGTCTGCATCTTGTACGCAAATAACCACTAGGAAGAGCGTATGCAATGTGTTAATTACTGAAACTGTCCTACCAATTTGATTTGAAACTGTCTCATTGCTATTTCTCAATAAAATTATGGGGAAAAAAATGTAACAGTGGTGTTTTCATAGAGACCTACAAAAATACCAGGCATGTTGGAGGTGAAGAGAACTCTTCCTCAAAATATTTTTTTTTATACTAGGGAATGAACTCAGGACCTTAATCTTGCCAGGCAGGCATTTACACTGCTGAGCCCTGAGAGCTCTTTATGACGAAGCATTTACAATCTATACCTCTCTCTCAAATTTACTGTATTTTATT